AGTGGTTATGGGAAATACTAGAAACGTCTCTTGGTCATCCGATAGTAATTACAATTGAAAGTGCTGAACTACCGCGTACTCCGGGGCAAAGAGAAACATCGTGTCGAAACCTGCACGTCTGAGAAAAAAAAATATTCTGAAGACGTGTGAAGTCCGCTAACACACAGTTACACATACAACAACAATCAACATACAGTGAGGCAGCGCGGCGTCGCCTTCCCTAAAACTCAGATATGAGAGGCCTGCGGCCTGTGCTAGCTGTGGGAAGTAAAGATATACAAAAAAGAGAAATTAGTATATATATACAACATGTAACATAATTAACGCACTTTGAGAAAGTAGTTTGTTCAGAATCGTTTACTGAATCGATTTCTATCATTTTTAATATAGGTAATTTTTTATCGAAAAAATAATTAAAACTATGTAAATCACAGTCACACTAAATCTGTACAGTCAAAACAAACTGAAATGGACCGTAACTTAAGGCAATAAGACTTTTAAGAGTGCAGTTTCATTTGTATTATTACTAATTCTGTTATTCAATAAAAATAAAGAAAAATGAACTTTATTTCAAGCACGTTAAAGTCTTTGCGTTCGTGGATTGTACTGTGACCACAACATTCTTCCTGAATTAGTATAACTAATTTGATAAATAATCAGTGCATAAAAATGTTTAACTAAAAATTCAGTGTATGTATTATGATTATAACATAATATACTAATTGGGGTGTCTGAGGGTGTGCGTTAATTACGTTACATATTGTGTATATATATATATATATATATATATATATATATATATATATATATATATATATATATATATATATTAAATAAGGGCTATTTTTCAGACAGATGGTCACGTAGTGTCATAATCAATAAGAAGTTGCGTTTAAAATATTTTTGGTTTCTAGCTTATATACACCAAATCAAATTTTCGTTGGGGTGCTCTTTATTTTATTAATTTCTTTATTCTTCTTTTTTTAACTCTTAATTCTTCTACTTTTAAGAATCCTTAGTTTTGTTTTTCTATTTTTAATCTAATTAATACAAAATATAAATTATATTTCACTAGGAAACATCATCAACATTACCTTATTCGAAATAAGCGCCGCCATGGTGGCAGAAAAAATTGTGAAAGCACTTATTACATAATTGTCTAACTCTTATTCGAAATAGTAAAATATGTATTTAGGTATACTATAACTGCTTAGTGTCTTTGACGTAGCGTTTCATTTTCGTAGCAATTTAAAGACGATCTTAGTGCTTTGTCGTTTGCACATACATTTGCAACAATAAACAATAATGTATTATGCTGTTAAGAATTTCCGGTAACTCTAGTCAGCTTGTAAACAACACAATGACATCAAATAGGATTTGCGATAGTCAGCTATGCAGCGCTCGCTGTAGCTACGAAGTGCTCTATGTTGCCGCACTGAATATTTTATATCCTATACCTTTAAACGAGCAATTCTTGTATATATATATATATATATATATATATATATATATATATATATATATATATATATATATAATCGGAATCTCGGAAACGGCTCCAACGATTTTCATAAAATTTTGTGTCCAAGGTGTTTCGGGGGGCAATAAAACGATCTAGCTAGGATTTATTTTTAGAAAATGTCTTTTTGTCCGTGTTTTTAGGCAATGAAAAACTGCTACAATATCGTTAGAATAAGAAGGTAAATTTTGACAGTTTATTAATGATTACAAATAGCTTAATTGGTATATTGAGCGGTCACAAAATCGTAATACCATGGTTCGAGCCCAGACCCACCGACCGATTTTTTTTAATTTTTTTTTTCAAGTTCCTTTCTTTTTTTTTTTTGAGAAAATCTATTTTTTTCGAGCCCTTTTTTTTAGTATTTTTTAAAAACACGAAAATTTAAATTAAACTAATTGCACTCATGATTTTTTATTCAAATAACCAGTTCAGTTTTTTCTATTATGTCGCGAAGATCAAAAAATATTATTCGTATTTCATCAGTATGTAATTTGTATCTAAATATAATTTCCAAAACACGTGAATTAAAAATACCGAGCAAAGCTCGGTCAACCGGGTACTCTGGTATAATGTGAGATGTTTATAGTACTACATATTCGGGCATAGGGAATCTGCATTACCCTAAGTTCCCTATTATGATACTCACAGAATTAGATTTTTTTATAAAATAAGGGTGACAAACAACCACACAGTCCATCTGTTGGTAACTAGATGCTGTGGCTCATAGATGAATACATTTATCCTCGATTGAAAATCAAAATGCAGATGCGTAGTCACCTGTGAGGACTGATGGTAAGATGGAATGCCTCGTTTCCAGTAAAAGGATTTCCGGTTCTCTACGCTCATCATGCGAAACAGCAGCATTAAGCTACTATTTTACGCTGGTATTCTGTGTGGGCGTGGTCCTTCCCCGGTCGAGCCGAACTATTCGTGCTACAACCATAATATAGCTGCAGCGTGCCTTTTCATACTAAGACCTAAGATGCAATGTTTTACAACCTGTCATCACACAGGTTCTCTTACCTTCAAATAGAAATACAGTTGTAGGTGCACTGCTGTTTGTAATAAAATAAGAAAGAAGGAAGTCCCAATCATAGTATACCTACTGAATGACCTTTTTTACCGTCTGGAAAAAAATAGGGTGTAACATGGACCAGACTAGAAGCCTATGGCGCTAATATTTTACAAAAGATAAAACAAAAATTTTGAATTAAATAAATGAATTAATTAAAATCGTCACAGGCTAGGGTAGATATGAATTGAATTTCGATAGGTTTTAATTAATTTATTTATTTAACTCAAAATTTTTGTTTTTATTCTTTGTAAAATACCAGTGCCGTAGGCGTCTACTCCGTTCACATGTTACACCCAATTTTTTTCCAGACGGTGAAAAAGGTAATCCAGTATATATCATACGTAGAAAAGGATCCTATCCTACCGTTGATCCTACTAGGCTGCACTTAAAGTATCGGGAATGGAATATTTCCACTGTTCCTGTCATATTAAAATCTTTTTAATTGAAAACTCCTTGGTTTTAAAAATCAAATACCATTTATTTATTTAAAAAAAGATTCTCGGTCTTGTCACAAGGTTTTGTCAAACTTGTTTAGTCGTTGAGAAAATGGAATTGACTCGAGAAAATTCAAGAGCGATGATTTATTATGACTTTCGAAGTGGTTTAACACAAAAACAGTGTGTTGACCGGATGATTTCTGCATTTGATGATAAAGCCCCATCCAAAACTACAATTTATCGCCGGTTTGCTGAATTTCAACGTGGACGTGTCAAGCTCAGTGATGATCCCAGTCAAGGTCGTCCAAAAACTGCAGTCACCCAAGAAAACGTTGATGCTGTGCGTAAGCTGATTGAGGAAGATCGACATGTTACATACCGCGAAATTCAGGCTACTTTAGACATTGGCATGAGTCAAATACAAATAATCTTGTATGATCAATTACGTGTAAAAAAGTTGTTTTCCCGATTGCCTTTTTGGTCTTAAAGATTCCACGCAGGATCCTCAAATGCTGTATGCAACATCGTATCAGGTGACGAATCCTGGATATACGCGTACGAACCCGAAACAAAAAACCAGTCACGAGTTTGGGTGTTCGAAAATAAGTTAAAGCCAACAAAAATTGTTCGTTCACGGAGTGTTAATGTTAAAATGGTGGCCACGTTTGTCTTCAAAACCGGCCATGTTACGACTATTCCTCTTGAGGGACAAAGAACGGTTAATGCAGAATGGTATGCTAGCATTTGTTTGCCACAGGTCGTTTCTGAACTCCATAAAGAGAACTGCAACCGCCGCATCATCCTCCATCAAGACAATGCGAGTTCTCACACCGCACACAGAACAAAGGAGTTTTTAGAGCAAGAAAACATAGAATTATTAGACCATCCGCCATATAGCTCCGACCTAAGCCCTAATGATTTCTATACTTTCCCTAAAATAAAGAATAAATTGCGTGGACAGAGATTGTCATCACCTGAAGAAGCTATGGACGCCTATAAAACGGCTATTTTGGAGGCCACCAACTTCCGAATGGAATGGTTGCTTTAATGATTGGTTCCATCGTATGGAAAAATGTGTCAAATTTCGCGGAGAATGCTTCGAAAAGCAATAAATACATTTTTAAATAGTATTGTTGTGTCACTTCCTTGATTCCCGAAATTTTCAGTGCCGCCCTCGTACCGTCTAATAATGAATTATAATCAAACTATTCGTAGAATGTTGTGTCCTAAAATATCGAAAAAACGTTAATAAGGGACCAATAAATAAATGTCTTAGAATTTTTGTGTTCGCTTTAGGTTTATTTTTTTAAATAAAACTAATTTTACGGATTTAATTGCTTTTAATTATTTTTAAATTATTTTTAATTCCAATTTCCAGGTGCTTTGCAGCACCCATGGTCATGAGGGACTAAGGTGATTGACGTCCCGATGTCAAACCTACACACCCACAAACTGCAGTTTAGCTAGCACTCCTTCATGATAATATCTTAGACGGCCCCCTCCATAACATCAGATTTGATAGACCACAAACTCGCGAAATATTCCTATACAAGAATGATACGTGAGACTATTGAAATTAAATAACATCCTAATTTCAATATAGAAGGTAGGCTTCTTCCCTCTGCTTGTAATTAATAAAATTAAAACTAAACCCCATCATACCACTGCAAGACTTCAAGCCACAGTAATTTCATTACGCGTACATCGGATCAAAAGTAATAATTATATTTATAAAGCTGAAGGTACTCTGGGTTAACTTTGATATTGGGAGGTCAAATACTTCACGTCCTCCGCGGCTATGGGTGCTGCAAAGCACCTGAAACCTTGGGAATTAAAAATTAGTAGTATCAAACGTGATAAAATCCGTATAAGTAGTTTTATTCAATGTGTAGTGCTCGCGTAAATATAAGAAATCAAAGTTTCTTTTAACATAAATGATATATATTTATTTTTTATTTATTTTCAGGTTTCGGAGTTGGACTTGCGTCGTCGTCTTCATTCGTATCTCTCAATTACTATTTTTCTAAGAAAAGGGGACAGGCGGTGGGATTGTCCATGGCGGGGACGGGTTTTGGGTTGATGGTAATGCCACAACTGGTAAAGTTGTTGCTTGGGGAATATGGGTTCAGATGGACGGTTGTGATATTGGGTGCGTTGGCTTTCCACGCCGTGCTTGGATCGTGTCTCCTGCAACCAGTGAAGAGACATCTTATCGATGAACCGGTCGACTGTGAAATGCAACAAGTAAAGGTTTGTTACTTTGTTTAAATATTAATCTTTCAACTTTTTGAAATTCAACCAAACACTTAAATAAAATTGAAGTTACAGTGTGTATAATAACGATATAACTGCCTTTTATTGAGCTGAGGTTATCTTAGAATCTCGGAGGATATAATACAGTTGCATTTAAAATATGTACAGATTTACTTTATTTAATTACATGCTCGACATTAAAGGAAAACATCATGAGGAAAACTGCGTGATTGAGAAATTAATAAGATTTTAAGGACATGTGAAATTTGCCAACACGCATTAATAGAGTCTAATATTTACTTGTTTTGATACATCCGCAATGGTTTGAATATTAAATAATTTTAAATTTTAATATTAAATAAGTTCTTCTCTCTTATTATACTTTGGAGAACATGTTTGGGTCCTTATGTGTAAATATGTCGTATTGTTTATGTCGGTAAATAACTATATGACCCACTTCGCCTAGAATATTAGGTCATGAGTTCTAGGACATTAGATAATTTCGTAGATAATATTGGCTAATAGTTTCGCTCAATTACATCTTAATTTGTAAGCCGAGCTTAGAATAAAAGTAAACGTTTGAAAATCGGTTAATATTGTTGCAAGCCGTAATTAATGCCCCTTGGGCCATCTAGTGTCGGGTAGCAGAGTGAGGAGAGCTTTCTAGAAAATGCTATGCTAGAACTTTCCACCTCCAGCGCCATCTAGTATCGAATAGAAATACTAAGTTTTCTAGAAAACTCCACACCCTAATTTTCTACACCTAGTCGGTCGAGACCGGTATTTCCTGGAATATTCTAGGTGTTTCGGTGGAAAAGGCCTATATAAAGCCGTTTAGGGCGCGACCGGAACAGTATTGAATTGGCGATAAAAGTGAAGACTTAAAAGCGAAATAAAGTGAACTAAAGTGTTAATTGTGATTAATTATTAGTGTGCATTAGTTTTAATTAGTGTTTTAATTTTTTGGCCCGACCCGGGATTCGAACCCAGGACCTCATGATCAGCAGTCGCACTACTACAACCACTAGACTAACGATGTAATATAATATATAATAAAGGCAGATATGTTTGAATTACAGCAATAACATCACAGACAACATATGAACGCCATAATTTCGAAAATGACAAAATTATATACGATTCTACCAGTTTTAAATCCTACAACACTATAGGTGTTTTGCCTTTTGGACTATGTTTTAAAGAAATATTCAACTATGTTTCAAAAACAGACATATATTACGTGACCTTTTTTTTTCAGGAGATGGAATGCATACACGAAAGCGACGAGGAAGAAGATAAGTTCGAAACAAATCTATTGGTCAGTCATCCAATGCCAAAGTTGACTACACAGCGCTCTCATACAAATATGAACCACCCATCAGTGCGAACGATAGGCTTACCGCGGGCGAAAACCTGCGACAAACCATTGCAGGAGTTCGAAAAAAATTCAAAGTTAGGATTCGGCATGACTACGGCCGCTTCCGTGGCTGCTATGCAAAGGGTTACTTCCAGTGGAAGCATGAGCCAAGCGGCGAGGAAAAGGAAGGTGTCCGTCATATCAAACATCTCCAATATGGACTTTACCGGCAGTTACTTACAACTGTACCTTGATGTAGGTGTGAACTTTTTATATTTATTATATTGCTTACATCTTTAAATCCTATATATATATATATATATATATATATATATATATATATATATATATATATATATATAATGGAATAGTTATGCAAAAGTTCTTAATGTTATGATTTTTACTTGTGGTCGTGGAGCCACGCTGCAGTTATATTATATGGTTGTAGCACGAATGGGTCGGCTCGGTCGGGGTAGCACCACGCTCTCACATGATAGCAGCTTAATGTTGCTGTGTTTTGTATAGTGCGTGTAGAGAACCGGAGAGCATTTTTACTGGAAGTCAGGCATTCCATCATAGTCCTCAGGGGTGACGACGCATCGGCATTTTGATTCTTAACTGAGGTTATATGTGTCTATGAGCCACAAAAACCACTAACCATCAGGTTGACTGTGTGCTCATTTGTCACTCTTCTGATTATTATTTACATAACATATATGATGTCATATCGTTGAGATCTTCCCTGTTTGTTGCTATATACTAGAAGGTAAGATTTTGTGGTAGATTTTCTTTTTCTTTTTTATCTCACTTTTAGTAGGAAACTGATAATTAATTTACATCTTCTATTTTCTAGTGGGATCGAAAGTCTATGGGTTTTAGTAAGCACTTTCATTGATTGACTTTTTACACATTTGCCACCTTCCCATGAAAAGTATTTCATATTGCGTACCAAAAAACATTTTGTACAAATTTGTCGTTTTTACAAGTATAATGTATGTCAATTTCAGACGGCAGACGATGATGCCATACAGATGAAAGCGATAAAGAAATCCGAGCCAGAAAAGGATAAAAAGAAGGGATTTTTTAGAAAGTTCATTGCCCTAATGGATTTGGATCTCTTAAAAGACTGGTCGTTTTTGAACCTTTTACTTGGTTTATCGCTTTTTTGGAGCGGAGAATTACAATTCAGAATGTTAACGCCATTTTTTATCAGAAGCCTCGGGTATAACATGAATGATACAGCGTTTTGTTTATCAATCACTGCCATATCTGATATTCTTGTCAGATTAATTTTGCCGCCAATTTTTGACAGGACGGAAATCTCTAAGAAAATGATATTTTTCATTTCCAGCTTCTTCTTAGCTGCTACGAGATCCGGTGAGTTTTTAATTTCATTTAATTTTACAAAATAATCAACTATCGCCATAAATGTCGGCCAGTAAGGCCAAAGATGATGTTTGAAATTATTATTAATTGTAATACTTGAGATTAGATTTAGGTATTTATCAGGATTATTTAATCAAGAATAGGTTTACCCAAGATACCAACTGATATTAAGTATTAGACTATAAAAAAACAATCCACCTGATGGTAAGTAGATATTGTGGTCCACAGATACTCTGTGACGCCAACATCTATCTGTTCTCGATTAAGAATCAAAGTGCAGACGCGTTGTTATCCTCTGAGATCATGATTGTTGGGTAATAATTATAAAATGGTTTCTTCGAAAAATACGTTAAATTAAAAAGACAATATATTATGTTAAAGTGTTGAAGAAAAAATATGTTCACAAATAGAATAAAATCTGCAAAATGCGTGTCATGCCACGCACAATATAATGCCGTATTTGCCCTTCGCAATACGCGAACTAAGAAAGGGCCTTCTTGATTCTATGAGAATATTAAGTAACTTCGCGTTTTGAAGTTATAACGACTAACAATGGCCTCAATTGTCGAACCTGAAGGACTTAAATTTACAAATAGTCATATAGGAAATGTAATTTTTTTTTAAATATTACGAAGACATGTGAAGTTCGCCAACACGCATTGGGGCAGCGCGGCGGACACTTCATTGTCCTGAAACCCTATCAGAAATGAGGGGAGGCCTGTGCCCAGCATTGGGACGTATATAGGCTGTAACTTTAACATATAGGGAATGGTATTTAAAAATAATTTAAAGTAACTATGGATTTTAAAAACAATGCAATCTACTTCAAATCATTGACATGCCAAGTCAGTACAAAAATGGTTATAGTTAACCAACATGATACTAACGAACCTTCACCTAAACTACCACTGGCCTAAAAATTCTGAGGGTTGCCCGCGTAAACTAAAATTACCACGAAAAAACAACTAATTAAAAATAAGCGAAATTGGTATGTCAGGATCGGTCTCGTGGCGATCGATTCTCTCGGCCTACTCCATATTGGAAAACGTGAAGCTATATTAGTAAAATCTAAGTCGTTTTCTTAAAAACAAAAAACAATTTTTCACAGTTTACAATAACATTACAAAGTATAATTATAATGCAGCTGACTTGAAGCCATTTTCTAAGGAATTGTAATGAAATTTTTACTATTCTTAGTGCGTTTTATAAGTTACTTGTTAAGCCTACTTAGCTGTGATAGGGCTCCTTTTAACTTTATTATAATAATATACTGCTATGGTGCGTACCTTTTACGTTTCCAAAAATAACAGTTTAATACAATAGACACATGTCTACGATAAAAAATACCACTTTAAAGTTAAATATTTTTCAAACAGACCACAGAACTTTTAAAAAAAATGGTGTTCTATATCACCAATATTTTTGAAAAACCTGTCTAACGACAGCCCACACAATCGAAAGGACGAATAAAAATTAACCCAACTTTACTTGTACACAAAATAACAATGTTTTTCAAATATTTTATTTCAGAACTTTGTAGGCATGATTAATATCTATAACTATGTACCTTGGGTCCCTGACTAAAATCGCGAACGGATCGACGAATGGACGTCAAAACTAGGGTTCCTTGTTGCTTAGCTACAGAACCCTAAAAACGCTTGTTAAAGTTTAGAGGATACACAAGTAAAACACAAAAAAAGAATCCCATGCAATACAATACTCCAGGAGTTTTTTTTTTATACGAGTAGGATAAGGGTAACAAAGGAGCACACAGTCCACCTGATGGTAAGTGGTTGCTGTGGCCCATAGACATCTACATCTATTTTAGATTACGAATCAAAATGTAGATGCGTTGTCACCCCTGAGGGAGATCGGATGACTCGTTTCTAGTAAAATGGGTCTCAGGTTCTCTACACGAACCCAACACACAACAGCGTTGATCTGCTATTTTAAGCTGGGTATTCTGTAAGAGCGTGGTCCATCCCCGTTCAAGCCGACCCATTCGTGCTACAACTATACTACTTATATAGCTGCAGCACGGCTCTACCACGTAAAAAGTTAGAGTTATATTTTTACTTGAATTTTTTCTTTGCATATTTTCAGTTTTGGCCGAGCAAAGTGAATGGGTGTCCTTGATGATCTGGCTGTCTATATGCGGTTTCTTCAGAGGCATGTGCCTAAGCAACTTCACGCTGACAATTTCTGAGTATTGTCCACTTGAAAAGTTGCCCGCAGCTTTTGGTTTGCACATGGTTAGCAAAGGCGTATTTGTTCTGGCCATTGGCCCATTGATCGGTAAGTGTGGCAATAATTTTGATGAATAACTACTATTTGCTTTTTTTTATAGTATAAGGGTGACAAACGAGCACACAGTCCACCTGATGGTAAGTGGATGCTGTGGCCCATAGACATCTACATTCGATTAAGAATCAAAATGTAGACGCGTTGTCACCCCTGAGAACTAAGATAGAATGCCTCGATCACAGTAAAACGGGTCTCCGGTTCTCTACACTCACCATACGAAACACAGCAGCATTAAACTGCTATTTTAAGCTGGTTTTCTGCGAGAGAGTGGTCCTTCCCCGGTCGAGCCGACCCATTCATGCTACAACCATAAAGCTGCAGCGTGGCTCTACCACGTAATAAAATGCAATATATATATATATATATATATATATATATATATATATATATTGCAAATGCTTAGCAGTGTATTTTGAATATTATGTGTAGTGTAATACAAACATAATATCGACGTTACACTTACGCCTTGTTAATTGATTATTGTGTCCTAAGCCACATTAATAAACTGACTGCCTCGTTGGTCCAGTGGTAGTAAATGCGACTGTTGATCTTGAGGTCTCTTGTTCTAATTCCGGGACGGACCAATAAAAATCAGTTATTTAGTGTTTCCGTCAAGAAATTCTCAGTAGCTGCCCGGAGTCAGGAAGTAGGCGGTGTCTCACCCCCGTGCCTCGGAAAGCACGTAAAGCCATCGGTCCGACGCCTGATCTCTTTCCGATTGTGTCGATTTACCTTCCCATCGGACTATGAGAGTTAGATTCTATAGAGAGTGCACCTGTGCTTGCGCATACACTTGGGCACTATAATCCCATCCTGTGCCGATGACTAGTCTCTGTAGAGGCTGGGCTCCGTGACTGAAATTCTACCTGGAGGACATTATTTTAAATTGATATTGAAATGGTTGTGGCAGCATTTCTTTTATGCCTAGGAGTTGGTCCAGACAGGCACCACAAGAGCCAGTTTTATTACAGGCTGTGGGGTATTCCATCTTAGTGCTCAGAGGTGACAACGTATCTGTAGCATTAGTTGCTTGAAGTTAGTTGCAGGTATCCTTCGGCTGCTGTAACTAATTACCATTGGGTAGACTGTACGTTTGTTTATCACTTTAGCTTTATAAAAAATATTACCCGTAAAAAGTATGAATTTCCTTAAAGTTTTTATAAAATAATGTATGTTAAAGCCGCGAAAAATTGTACAGTAACATTTATGATATCATAACAAATGTTACGAACATGACTGAATGTTACGTACATGACCAAGGCTTAGATTGTAGATGACATAACAATATAGAAATAAGGGTTTATTAATAAAAATTAACGGTAATTAAACGGTAGTCGAGTGGAAAAAAAGCACTGTGTAATTCTCGCCTTAACATGTTTTGTAACACATTATAACATCCATGACAAAAAGTTATTTATTAATTCTAAATTATTACTTTATTGCACGTAAGCATGGACTACGAAGTAGTTATATTCTTTTGTAAGTAAACCTACATAATCACGTATAATAGTGAACCAGAACATACATACTTAATTTGCAACCAAACACTTAAAGCATACTTTGTTTAACCGCTTATCCTTCACCGACACTAGACATCATTTAAATTAAAAAAAATGGCTGCTTATATTTTAAAATTTTGTCGGCATCATATACAATCGTTTTGCTATTAAAGTATAATACTGGAAGCGGCCGGATTATTCCTACACACATCAAAATTTTGGACATGTTTTTACAAGTAAATAAAAACGTCACAAAACTTCAACATAACTTTAAAATACAGGATAGCAATTCCATTTCGTAAGTGATGGTAGTTTTTGATACAAGGGTGGTAATTGGACAAATAATTTTTGTATGGAAGTGAAAGTAGTACCAATGAAAAAATTACAAAATAACAAACAGCTATAAAGGATAGCTATAATTTTGTGGAATTATCTTAAACAACATAAGCACACCTTTCAGTACAATATTCAAAATATCTCATTTAATGTTTTTGTAAAATAACACCTGTAACTCTCACGCCACCAAACGCGTCATTCAATTGCGCTGGCGTAACACTATACCATTGTATTACGCTACTAGCTCATCATTGACACATTAGATTAATAATTTGTGCATACGAATAAATTATACAGCTACAATATTAGTCTTAGTACAATTTATAGTCGATTAGTTCTGTTCCAATCAATGTAATTGTGTAGGCCAGGAAGATCGTGTTGCTGAGAGGTTGCTCTATGTTACAATGAATTGCGAGGGCGACACTGAAAGTTTTTAGAACTGGCCACTTGTAAACGATATAATAAAAAATAAGTAAAAATTTTGAAAATGGAACTCTTTGCCAATGTTATTTTGTATGTATTTTATTAATTTGTCATTTGTTTACTATTAGGCCGTGTAGTGGCGGTTGAGAATATCCACTACCCCATATCTTCCCGTGGGTGTCGTAAGAGGCGACAGAGGGAGACAGGCAGGAGATGTGCAGCAGCATCTTCCTAATAACAACAATAATATAATAAAAACCGCGGGTGCCAACCCGCTCGCCAAGCGTGGCAACTATGGCATATATCCCCACATGAGCAACGACGCAAACAAACGGCCCCCAGTCCCCAGCGGCCCCGCTATTCCTGGCTATAGTGGCGACCATGATAACGGCAGGGCAGAGGGTGCCAAGATTCTCCGGTGGAAAACCACAGACCGATATCCCTTCTGAGCCGCGTCTACGTGCTGTTTTCGAGAGTCATTACGAATTGTCTCGCACACAGACTCGACGACTTCCAGCCTCCCGAGCAAGCCGGTTTCCGAAAAGGCTTCAGTACCATAGACCACATACATACCCTTCAGCAGATTGTACAGAAGTCCGAAGAGTACAATCTGTCACTTTGCCTGGCGTATGTGGACTATGAGAAAGCCATTGATTCCTTTGAATTTTAGGGCTGTGCTACAGTCTCTTCAGCGGTGCCAAGTTGACTGTCGGTATATCGAAGTGCTGAAGTGTTTGTACAGTAGGGCTACGATGGCTATCCGGGTACAGAAGCAGAGTACGAAACCTATTCAACTGCAGAGAGGTGTAAGACAGGGTGACGGTATTTCCCCGAAACTCTTAACCGCTGCATTGTAAGACGTTTTCAAGCTACTGGACTGGAAAGGATACGGTATTAACATCAATGGCGATATATAGTCCTTATGGCAGAATCGCTGGAGGCGCTATGACTCAATAGTGCCTTCCAACAGATAGGTCTTAAGATGAACATGGACAAAACAAAGATCATGTTTAATGTCTGTGTCACACCTACGCCCGTAGTTGTTGTGAGCACTAAGCTCGAAGTTGTTGACGAGTACGTTTACCTGGGACAAATAGTCCGACTAGGTAAGTCCAACTTCGACCGAGAGGTCAATCGACGGATTCTCGAAACTCGGCTGGGCAGCGTTCGGGAAATTACGACATATCTTTTCGTCAGGTATACCTCAAAACAACAAGTTGTACAACCAGTGCGTGTTGCCAGTGATGACCTACGGAACCGAGACGTGGTCCTTCACTGCTGGCCGTATGAAGACGCTCAAAGTCGCTCAGCGAGCTATGGAGAGAGCTATGCTCGAGGTTTCTATGCGTGATAAACTTAGAAATGAGGATATCCGCAGTAGAACTAGAGTGACCGATATATCCCATCGGATTAGTAAGCTGAAGTGGCAATGGGCCGGCCATATAACTCGAAGAACAGACAACCGTTGGGGAAAAAAGGTTCTCGAGTGGCAGCCTCGTACCGGTAGGGGAAGTGTAGGGCGACCTGCAGGAAGTCGATGGATGCAGATGGCTCAGGACTGTGCTTTGTGGCATACCTTGGGAGAGGCCTATGTTCAGCAGTGGACTTGTGAAGGGATGTAATGATGATGATGATGTTTGTTTAGGATTTGGCGGCAAATTGAAAATTGTCTGTGTCACGTCAGCATGAATTTAACGCGAGAAAGTTTTCGTACTATGATTTTTTTATGACTTTCGATGTTATTTAAGTCAACAAGAAAGTTATGATAGACTTTGATTGGCCGTTCACGATGAAGCCCCATCTCGTGCCACTGCTTACAACTGGTTTAATGTGTTTAAACGTTGTCGCCCTAATCTCACCGATGATCTGCGTGTGGGACGGCCTTCTACGGCGACGACTGAAGATAACATCAGTGTTGTGCGGCATATGATAGAGACTGACAAAAGAGTAAGTAACTTATCAGCAGATTCGGACGAGCTTAGGCATCGGTATGAGTTAAGTGCACAAAATCCTTCATGAACATTTAGCGGTCAGGAAGCTTTGTGCACGGTGGATACCTCATAATTTGACAGAGGCCCAAAAACTCCGTCGTGTTGATTGGTGTTGTGAAATCGTTCAAAAATTCAACGGAGGTGACTTAAGTGTTGTGTTCGACATACTTACTGGTGGCGAAAGCTGGATTTATTGTTATGATCTTGAAACTAAGAGACAGTCTGTTGTCTTTTTTTTATAGAATAGGCTGACAAACGAGCACACAGTCCACCTGATGGTAAGTGGTTGCTGCGGCCCATAGACATCTACATCTATCTTCCATTACAAATCAAAATGCAGATGCGTTGTCACCCGTGAGGACTGAGATGGAATGCCTCATTTTCAGTAAAAAAGGGTCTCCGGTTCTCTACACTCACCATACGAAATACAGCAGCATTAAGCTACTATTTCACGCTGGTATTCTGTGAGAGCGTGGTCCTTCCCCGGTCGAGTCGACCCATTCGTGCTACAACTATACTACTAATATAACTGCAGCATGGCTCTACCACGTAGAAACACGTCTGGGTGTTTCCTTCCGAGGAGTTGCCACCTAAAATGAAGAGAGGCCGAAGCGTGGGAAAAAAGACTGGCCTCGTTCTTCGGAAGGACAGGTCATCACGCAACAATTGTTTTGGAGGATCGAAAAACAGTTACTGCAGAGTTGTACACTAACAATTGTTTGCCACTTGTCTTGGAAAAACTGGGAGAAACGACCTCGCAGTAGGACCTCCTTCACCACGACAACGCCTCGTCGCACAACGCTAAGCAAATAATCGACTACTTGGCGACGTCTGACGTGGAATTACTGGGTCAACCGCTTTACTTCATTTGCGAAAATAAAAGAAAAACTTCGAGGAAAACGTTTTATCAACGCCGAAGAAGCAGTGCTGCGTTTTAAAATGTCGTCGAAGAAACCCCTAAGGACGAGTGGGCAGTACTTTTCTCAGTGGTTCCATCGGTTGCAGCGGATGTATTGATGTAAATGAACACTATTTTGAAAAGATAAAATAAAACTAATAACTTGCTAGTTTGTTCAGTTTTGATTTTCTAAGAACTTTCAGTGTCACCCTCGTACTCTTATGTAGTGTTGCTTTTGGTTTCCATACTTTTAGTGTTGTCATGTAGTTACGCCACTTACATTACCATCACGTTACACTACAGTAATGTAACGTGATGGACGTAATGAAAGTAATTGTGACGGAGACATATTACGGTATGGTTAAACAGTAATTCCTCTATACTGAATGTATAGTGTATCACGCTGTTTTATTGCTGATAATTATTAATTGCGTAAGCAGTAGAGCACGTTGAAAATCTGCTCTCACGCTATTATTATTCTTAACAATTAACCTTTTGATGTTTTTCCGACATGTACAATTTTTTCGGTTTTATACAATTATGACATCTGTATTATTAGTCATACTGCTTTTGAATTAAACAAAAGAAATCATACTTTGTAAAACTTCTATGAAGATTGATAAATATATTTCTTTTTCTACATGCAGGTTATGTCAGGGACTACACGGGCAGTTTCTCAATGTGCATCCACGTGCAAAACGCTCTTATAATGTCGTGCGTACTCGTCTGGGGTATCGAGTACGCACTTGCATTTACCCGTCGCCGGAAAATTGTGCAGATATAGGAAGAGTATGTCCTCTTTGGTGATTGAATAAGAGTTATCAGTTAGTTTCTGTTGCTAATATACTCTAAGGTTATTTCCCAATAAAAATTGTATACCAGTGTCTTAAAGGGGAATTCAATATAAATAATAAGTACGGAAAGGTATTTCTAACCATTATTAGGGTTTATGTAAGCGAATTATTGGTTCATTTGTAACTAAAGGAATATTTTTTTTAGAGTATTATTGAATCAAATTTTAGAAAAACTTTTAATATTAATCAAATTAATATCAATCTTAACACAGTGCTACAAATTTGAAGCCTAGTGGCGTTATTCATATCAATTTTATAATTGATGCTTAAACATATTTACTGCTTCATAAAAAATGATAAATACAATAACTAAATTGAAGATAAAAATACGCGGCGGAGTAAACTCAGTCCCAACAGTACTCTGTAAAATATTTCAAATTTATATTTTATAATTTCGTAAGTTCTACATTGGACTACAAGCTGTATTTTTTCTGGTGAATCACTCATATGTAATTAATAAAAACGACATGATTCTATTAAGAATAGAGCAATAGCTCTGGAATAAGATCCATTATTTATTTTTATGTAATCAAAATTAATAAATGTTTTGTATAGTATAAAGTACACATTATTGACATCTACGCTCTCACGGGAACGTCACATAATTGGACATTTTCCACGATCAGCTCTTCTGTCTGATATTTTATAAATAACTTTTGTGCATAGCGATATTGCTAGAAATTTTGTAAATTTTACTATATGAGAACAGACATAAAATAGTTTTAAGTCTAGCGTGATGTGTGATATGGCAACAACTTAGTGATTAATGTATAATTATGATAGTAGAATAATAATATAATATGTTTTGGTGCTTGACTTGAAATAGACTTACTTATTCATACATCTAACAATGGAATTAGCTTAGTAGTAATGAATGAGTGCGATTTGAAATACAAAAGACTTCTATATACTTCCCTGTTCCCTGTGTAATAATTTTCTCGTTACTTCGTAACAACAATATTTAAAATTCTGTTATGTTCAATTTTAACCGTCTTCAAAAAAAGGAGGAGGAGGTATTCAATTCGATTGTGTGTTTTTATGTGTACGACTGTTTTCCGATGTTTTACGAACTTTTTTCCAATTTGAACCAATTTTGATTAGTCTTTTTTATTTGAAAGCTAGTGCTTCTCATGTAGTCCCATAAAAATTTGATCACCTGACTAGTAGTTTTTCGGTTATCCCTAATAATGCGTATTGACCTGACTTCGACTACATTGATGATGTTCTCATTTATTTATATTGAAGTGGGTTGTACAAAATCTTTAATTTTACCACTTGTTTGTTCTGCACACTTAGTACTCGTACATGACAGTTCCAGTGATTCGATATACAAGTCAATGTTGCAATGTAGATAAAATGTTACATTATAAATGTAATGTTTTGTAGTTAATTGTTTTGTTATAATCGTATTTTATAGGACTCTGTAGTTTTGAAATATTTACTTACGTATTTTTAGACGACTGCATTTTGTGTAGGCCGTAGTGACTAAAATAAATTAGCATTTACTAAATAAATACTTGAAAATTATAATGGTGCACACATATTATTAAGTTCTTCTTGTATGTTAAACGTTATTAGTTTGATTTGATGTATTTCTGACATAAGGTTTTACGGGAATTAACCAGTTGTATTAATGATGGTATTTCTGTTTGTTTTGTATTGTTTTGGAAAGTTTTGTAAAATTTTCTGTGGATGTGGTCTGATACCAAACCTGGTACGATCTGAATTTCTACTGCATTAAATATAATTATACTGCAGAGGACGATTGGCGTGCATAACAAACTCAGTCTATGTCACGGTGTTCTGCCCCCCCCCCCTCCGATGTGTTGAGTTGTACGCCGCGAACTGCGCCGCCGTCCGCCGAACACTTAAATAAGGCCATATCTTCGAAATACATGTTCTATAAAAGTTGATCTACTTCCGCTGCCAAATAGCAGCGCCTATACTGTACAGAGGATCAGTATAATTACAGACTGTAAGGTATCCCATCTTAGGCCTCAGAGGTGACAACAAATCTGAAGCCTTCTTCGTTTGAAGTTGGCTGTTGGTGTTTATGGACTGCAGAAGCCACTTATAGGCTATATGCTTATAGACTTACTATCAGGTAGACTCTAAATTCGTTTTGTCACATCAGTTTTATAAAAAAAATTAAGATACATGTTACTTATTGAATAAAGTACGTGATTTAGATCAAGGAAGTGAAAAATGTTCATTACTTAAGCCTATGTGTGAAACCATTGTAATAAAAATTATATTTTGAATAAAACTACTTTTACTGATTTTATTTAGTTTATAAGTCGCGGCACGTAACTCTAGCGCTGAACGAAACTTGAAGGGGATAGCTACGAATGTATCAGTACGAGGGATGGAATGCCACTGGAGAGCCAATCAGCGCATGCGAACGATACGCACAGCCTATCATACGCAATAATGCGCAATACGGCCAATTATTCGCGATAACGGTCACCGCAGGACTTTCATACCGCGAGTTGTAAGTAGTATTATTCAATGTGTAGTGTTCACGTAAATATAAGAAATCATTATGAAAATTATATTTTCATTAATAATAAACCCTAGTATCATTGGATATTACTCTTGTTTTTGTCTTATGTACTTATTATTGACAGACTTATATACGCTGAAATATATTTCAACTTAATAGGTGTACTTATCAATTGCCAGATCTAAGAAAGAAATTCCATCTTGATCGATATTACACTAAACAGGGTTATTTTTCAAAGAGTAGCCAAATTTTAAACTTAAGTTCTAATGTAGAAATTATTGCAGTTCTTTAAGGTTTTGAAAATACGAGTAAATAAGGCATCTATTTTTATTTGAAAATAGCTCAAATTGAACGCGTTTTGAATGTGTGCGTGCGCAGTAAAATCAATTAAAATAATGCATTTTTTTGAGATTTCTTAATTATGTTTTCTTCACCATTTGCCTATATTACTTATTCTCAACTTTTTCTGTAAATTTGGCCGGTGATTGCAAAATAACCCTATATCTACGAATATTGTAGCATTAGAAGCAAGTGTTTTTTGGAGAAAAATATAAATATAAAACACGTAAAGATTCTTTAAAGGTTGTTACACAACAGATGTTCCACTACTTTAATACTTTTGTAATTATATAAGTTGTCTGTTGTGAATAAGAACAGTGTTTCAGCGCCATAAACAACGATAACTTTTATTTTAAAACAAAGGTTTTTTTGTAGTAATATATTTGTTATCACATTGAACTCCATACAAGGTGAAAGAGATTCTTTAAGTTTTTATATTACCACTGCTATACGTTATACTCGATCGAGAAGACTCTCAGACTTCCAACATTTCCATTTTCGTCTTCCAACACCTTTGTTAAGACTTTACTGTTTAATGTGATGTTTGCATTTTCGATATGTGATTTTTATTGACCAAATAATACTTTTGATAAAAATGTACGCAGTTTTAATCTATCACGAGGCGTGGTTGTATTTGTATCTACAGTAACGATTTTAAATCTTATTACTGATGTAGTAAAGTATTTAGATATTACTCGGTGAGATTTAAAAAGTGAAGATACGTTATGCATATTAAATTTGCCAAAAAAGTGTCCAAGTCCAAACTGTAAATACACGTCAAAACATGCCAACCAGCACGGACAATTTTTTTATCGATGTACCTATTTTATACTTTTTAAATGTCATTGTTTTAACTATAAACTATTGTGAAATTCTACCAATTGTATATGTTTTGATAGAATTCAATCAATTAATGAAATGTTTGTGCCAATTGTACATAACTCCTGTATTTTATAATCTATATACGATAGGTTTTTTGTGGTAGCGGCACGGATTACGAGCTGACCTTCATTTGCCAAGTAAATGTTAACCATCATAACAGAGCTTACTCCGTTAATATTGCGCCAGATAAAATCAAAATTTAGAGTAAAATTTAATTATAATTAAATAAAAAGATTTAATTCACTAGCCTTACGATTTACCAATTACTTATTATTATTTAAAACTATACACCAGTAGCACTATCATATAATGTGTGAGAAAAAAAGATTATATAGAGAACTAATTACATTCAGTGTATACCATTTGTTCGTAAAAAATAGTCGTTGCAATTGTTTAAAATTGTAAATAAATTTCATATTAATAAGTAATTTAAATATCTAATATCTAAAATGTTCAATGAACTACAAACGCGTTATCCATGGCAGTTTTATTTACAAACATAATGCCACATTAAATGAAATATAGGTAGAGCAGTACCTTAAGTAGGGACTTTTTTGAAATAATACCCTCAGATATCGATTTTAAAACCAATCAGTGTAGTAAATAAAAAGTTCAAAATGGCAGCCACATTTTGAATTCTAACAACGGATACATGACCAAAAATTTGAACAGAGTTTGAAAGCATCGGCCCGGTAAAAACGTTCAGAATCATGACTACGAATATATCGATGATATATGATCGGAAACGACATGGACCTTAGATATCAAATTCGAAAGAATTCAGGAAAGTAAGAGAAGTTCAAAATGGCAGTGACTTTTAATTCTAATAACGGATACGTGTAAAACGAAACGGATCTTCACATATCGACTCTGGAAATAATCGAGCCAATAAGTAAAATTACTTAGAACTCACTTAGAGCTCTTGTAGCGGCGCGACTATGTGTGCGTGCAACAATTCGGACGTTCGTATGGAGTTGAGTTACTGCTTTAGCTATATATGTTTGCTGTGGTATTGCCATGCATATCAAGAGCGCAGAAAGGTCGAAATCGTTTTAAGAAAATTATGCACATTTGGTTCAAACGCACATTGCATTCTACTTTATACTTCGTACGAATGAGATCATCCACCGGATTCTGAATGAGATATGTAAAGTGATCAGATTTTCATACAGACTACTGCTCTCTTGATTAGGCATGTCATACTTT